CAAGGAGGGTCTTCAGGGGGCTTCTCTCCCTACGTCAAACGGGAGCCCGTCGAAGGATGGTCTATTCACCACCGCAGTCGCCGGAGCAGGAGGTGGCCACGAGCTGCGCTCCGGCGACCCTCACTACGGCAACTACCACAACTACAACCTGCACGGGCTCCCTTCCATCGACCAGGGCAACTCCACCACAGGGGAGAAGTCCCCCTGTACAGCTGCTAACACCAACCGGGCGGCCACCAACACCACCCCAGCAGCTGCCAAAACCACCGGAGCACCTGCCAACACCACCTCTGCGGCCGCAAACACCACCCGAGCGGCCGCAAACCCCGCCCCCGCAGACAAACCCTGAACCCAGGAGGGCGGTGGAACAAGGAAGGGGAGCAGACCCTCAGAAGCGGACTCCGCCCCCATCAAGGGAGAAGGAAAAAGAAGAGGAATGGAGGCTGGTGGGGAGTGGAAGAAGAAGTAGAGGGGGAAGAAGAGGAAGAAGAAGAGGAGAGCCGACGTCCCCCGGATCCGAGTCTAATCCTGAGAGACCCGCCGGAAACCGTCCTGACCCTGGGGGTGATTCCCCCCATAGCCCWACACATCAGCCCGTACCCCTCACACAGAATCCTTTCCTCTCCSTTCCCACAGATGATGCCGGAGGGAGTAGTTAAGATAATGGGGGGGAGGGGGCCCTCCTCTTTGTGGGCGCGGGGCGGCCTCGTMGTCCGTCGGGCGGTCAGTCTCCTCCTGGTTCTGCTGGAGGGCGTTGGGGGGTTGGGCGTCGTCGCGCYAATCCCTCCTCGCCCAACAGCGACCAGGGGGTGCTGATCCGTCTGATTGAGGCGGCGGGAACCGTCCAGGAGTTGGAAAACGCCGCCCAAAGGGTGGCGGAGTTTTTCAGCTCTCGTGCGCAGYGAAGGGGAGGGGAACAGGGGGGGCCTCATACCTAGACGAGGGGGAGGGGACGTTTCAACCGAGTCCATCCTACACCCATCCTGCCGGAAGGGAGTCAAGAGAGAGTGCGTCGGGCGACCCGTCTCCAGCAACTCTACCGAACCAATCAGCGGCGGGCCATAAGGGAGGTGGTTTCAGGCCCGCCCACGGCATGTTCCATTGACCGTGAGCGGATCCGAGACCACTTCGTGGAGGTCCACCGAATTAGAGAAGCTGGGGGCGGTGACCCCGACGTACTCGTACAGCAGCCCATAGATCCTAACCTCGATGTGGCCCTGACCGCTCCCCTGGGAAGGATGGAGGTCTCTGCCAGGCTCAGAAAGATGAAGAACTCAT